ACTAAATGGATTGACACAGTAGCTGCAAAACAGATTCAAACGTAGTAACAATTGTGAGGATGAAGCAGAACTGGGTAGTGTTTTTTACTGCTGTATATAGGGTCACTATTAATCACAACTGACTCAATGGCACCTAACAACAATAATTAGTGCCATCAATATTCAACAAAATTATATGGCAGCAGGATGAGTAAAGTGTATGGAGCACAGAGAATGAAATGGTTACTTTTCCTCAGGTCAGTTCATAACAGAAAATTAAGTGCCCCAAGCAGTGACTATAATGGAAAGCCTGACTATCAGGAGATGGTGCTAGACATTTATTTCCATGGTTCCTTAAGACTGGTAAATTTAAAAAAGAATGGTTGGTGTGAGTATATCATATCTAAATAAACCCCACTATCACTACCAATTCTATGTCTCCTGTCTGTAGAGGAAATTACTGGTCCTTGGTTCAAAATTATGCCCTTTGTTTATTTAGCACAATTTTCAGAAGAAAGATATTGCAAAGGTAGTTTGTGGAAAACATGCAATTCCTCCTGATTCACTCTGTTGTGTGTTTTTTTTTAGCACCTCAATTATAGTCCACTGTTGTCTTTTATTTGTCTACCTTCCTTCCAGACCTTTAGGAATGGATCATCCAGCTCAGGTGCAGTACCTGGCATTTAATAAATGTCTGCTGGATAAATGAATGAGTAACTTGGTGATATAGTTGGAATCAACTCCACAGCACTCAACAACAACATGCAGTAGAGGTAGCATGGAAAGCTGAATGTATTGAGATTTTCTGGTTGCATACTCATACATAGTTTTCTTAGCAAAATTAATCAAGTTTAAAGGCTAAATCAATCTCCAGATTTACCCACTGCCATCGAATTGATCCCAAATCATAGCAACTCTATAAGACAGAGTAGAATGGGCCCATAGGATTTCCAAGAATGTAAATCTTTACACAGCAGAGTGACACATCTTTTTCCTGTGGAGCATCTGCTTGATTCAAATCAACAACCATTTAATTTCTGGCAGAGTGCTTTAAACACTGTGCCACCAAGTTTCCTTAAAACAATCTAGTCTAAATTAAGGAAACCATTCAACTTCTTTTGATCAAACAAAACAATTAGTTTCTGCTCTGTATTTGTAGCTCCTGATAATGCATTTTAAATAGAGCCCATTGAGTGTGTTTTTATTGGTTATTTTTCTTGGTTTTAACACTCCATTGTACACAAAGGCCTCTTAGAAAATTGAAAACAAAAGTCTCCTCTTACTGATTTTGTCATTTTCCATTTGTCAAACATTGATTTTCTCCCCCCTTGTGCATCTAATGGAGGTTGAAATTAGTGCTTTTTTTGGTGTGTGGTTGTTTACTTCTTATTTGTGTACCTTCATCATCATTCATCAAGCTGCCAGTGAGCTGTGGCATAGTGCTGGTGAGTTAATTGATGTTCTGAAGTCCACACAGGAATTTTTCTGAATAGAGCTTTACCACAGTTTCTAACATTTCTCTCTAGGGAAGAATGCAAATATAAGGGGCTCTCCCCAGCAAATATTTTTTAAAATGAAAAAATAACCCAATTTGCTGATTTTCAGATTTTTGATGATCTGAAAATTCTCAAAACTTTTCAGGAGATTAAGAAGCTTACTTTTCTTTTTTATCTAAAAATACACATAGGTCTAAAGTACCATAGACATGGTCACTCTGTTCTTCCTACTGTGACATTAGACAACACAGTGTGTGAAATCGCTGCTGGGTCTTATATGGATGGTGTCACACTAGTATTGATTGAAAAGATAGCATCTTTCTAGTGGGCTGGCAAAGGGACAGAGAGGTACAGGCCATATTTGAGTACTATGACAATATACTCTTTCGTCTCTGTCTTTAATTGATTAGATTAGCTCTGAAAGTCTCTTGACACACAGAATATATCCAGAAGACAATTTTCACTGAGGACAAGAAAGTTAATAGTTTCTATTTGGGCTATTGCAGTTGATCATAAAAAAATATGATGAATCTGGAAACTTGAAAATGAAAACAAAATGAAAAGTCAGTAGGTACCATATAATTAAAAACACACACACAAAACCAAACCATGGTGGTGTGGCATTCTTTGTGTTTGTGATTTACACAAAGCCACAAGTTGTGTGACTTTCTCGCTGTAGTTTGGCAGTCTTGATGGAGGTCTTGATGGTTTATTGTTTTCTCATTCTCTTAGAGCACTATCAAATAGTATCTTATACAATAATAGAAAATTTTTTTCCATGTGTTAGCCACTAGTTATGGGTGGTTGTTGAACACTGAAAATATGGATAGTGTGACTAAGAAACCTGAGTTTTTTTAATGTTATTTAATTTTGTTTAATAAATTTTAAATTTGAGTAGACACATGTGTTTAATTGCCACCATATTGGACAGTGTAGAGAGTCTATGCCTGCTAAAATTTTAATGACACCTTTGTACTTCTTTTAAAGCTAGATTTCTGAATGTTTCCAAGTCTAAACTTTGTGACTTGTTTTCTTTACTTTCTGTAGGCACAGGCTTTGGTGCTGAATAGACAGTGACAAACAAGATACAGTCTCTGCCCCACAAAACTTATATCCTAGTGGTTTCTCACAATGCCATGCTGCTACTTGAGAAGGGTGAGTAGACTTTAATGAATGAAATAATACTTGCTTATTGGAAAAATATTGAGGTGATGTAGCATGTAGGGAAACTACTACTTCACAGATTGAGGTTAATTGATATAAGAATAGACATTAGATTATCTTCTTTTTTTGCATTGATAAACTATATATTATTTACTTAAAAATATGTGTACAGTTTTAACATTTCAGTCTTAGTGTTACCTTTGTATCCTTAAGTATCATCAAATTCAGAAATACACACCAAAGGAACCAGCACAGTGTAGTTATTATGAGCATGGGTTTTGCAGTCAGACAGAATGCTACTTTTTTAGCTTTTAATGCCTTGGGAATATCACCTTCCATTTCCTCTCTCCACACCTCAGTTTCGTCCTCTATAAGTGGGGATAATAATATATTCCTCATGTTGTTGTTAACTGCTGTCTACTCATGGTAACCCCATGAGTGTGCAGAGTAGAACTGCCCCATAGGGTTTTCAAGGCTATGGATATTCAAAAGCAGAACACCAAGGCTTTCTTCTGAGGCATCTTGGGAGAATTTGAACCACCAACCATTCAATTAGTAGAGCAGCACTTAACCATTTGTACCACTCACAGACTGCATATTATTTAAGTCTTCATTGTTGTTGTTGTTGTTAAGTGCCGTCGAGTCGATTCCAACCCATAGTGACCCTGTATAGGTTTTCCAAGGAGCAGCTGGTGAGCTTGAACCACCGACTTTGCAGTTCAAATGACTTTGAAGTCTGACACATTAGCCCACAGTGCCTTATGTCTTCACAGTGTGGTTGAAAAGATTAAGTGAGGCTTGGTAAGTAAATTAACTAGCACAAGAATGATACATATTACTGTTGAGTAGATCTGGAGTCCTGGTATGAGCTGTAGGATAAGCACTGGCCCACAAGGTCAGTTTGAATTGCAAGGTCAAGGGTTTAAACTCAGGAACTGCTCCTTGGAAATTCTATACAGCCAGCGTAGGAAATCTTTTCTCTGCCAACATTTATGATGTCATTCATGGGCCATACACAAATACAACTTAAAAATTAGCCCTGCTATCTTTGATCAAACTGTTGTTGCACTGTGGGTTAATGTGCTGGACTACAAAGTCAGTTTGAACCACAAGGTCAGTGGTTCAAGCTCACCAACCGTTTCTTGGAAACCCTGTACAGGTTTGTTATGAGTTGGAACCAACTTGACGGCACTTAACAACAACAAGGTGATGACTGGAACTGTGGTTGCATTAGCAGGGACAGACCAAATGATTTGCAGGCAGGTACTTTGGGTTAATGCGCTGGACTGCAAAGTCTGTTTGAACAGCAAAGTTGGCTTTTTAATCTCACCAGTGGCTCCTAGGAAACCCTATACAGAGTCACTATAGGTCAGGACTGACTCCACGGCACTTAACAACAACAACGTACAGCTTGGGGGCCAGATGTTCCCTAGCAACAGGGTTGCTATGAGTTGAAACCAACTCGACTGCACTTAACAATAAAAACATAGGATAGATGTTGTAGATAAACACTAGATTACTAACCACAAGGCTAGCAGTTCAAACTCACCAGTGGGTTTGTGGGAGAAAGATGAGACTGTCTGCTCCTGTAAAGACTTACAGTCTCAGAAACCCTGTATAGATAGCATCCTTATGAGTAGGCCATGACTCAGTCAGTGGGAATGGTTTTCTCTTTTTTGTTTTTGCTGTTATAGGACAGAGTAGAACAGCCCGAAAAGGTTTCTAAGGCTGTAAATGTTCACAGAAGCCGATTGCCACATCTTTCTTCTGTAGAGTGGTAGATGGGGTCTAACTACTGACCTTTCAGTTAGCAACCACATACTTGACTGGGCTCCATAGAATGAATTTTTATTATTGTTACGTGCCATTGAGTCAGTTTTGACTCACAGTGATCTGCTGACCCTGTATAGGGTTTCTGAGGAGGGCTGGTGGATTGGAACCGCTGACCTTGCGGCTCAATCTGACCTTGTCATCCAGTGCATTATCCTGCAGTGCCACACCAGGACTCCAAAAGAATGATAACTAACATTTAATATACACTTAACTGTGCTTCAGACACAGTTGTAGATTGTTAACATGAACCAATCACTTAATTAACATTATGAGGAAGGTTCTATTGTTAATCCATTCTATAGATGAGGAAACTAAGGCACAGGGAGATACATGATCCCACTGTATAATGAGCACTGAATGTTTTTGCTATTATGCTATTATGACCGCTGATTTCCTGTGGTTAAAGATCCATATATGCAGAGACAGTCAGTGAAACATTAAGCAAAAAAATTTTGCTGTACTTTTTTTTGTAGTCCAAGCTGATATTACTCAGTTGTCAGTTTTTTTTATCTCCCTGAATCTACTTACTATTATTTCTCTCCCTGTTATAAACTGGAGTCTGGGCTGGACTAACAGCGTATCACAAAGGTAGAAGTTATCACATATGAAGTCCATAATCAACTAGTAGTATATGTTGTCCATTGTTTGATATGGAAACACTAGATGCAGTGGGATTAGCCAGCAATTCCAGTTATAGGCCATGGTGACAAGCAGGAGCTACGGGAGATAGAATCGATCTAGAAGAACAGCATTTAAAGTCATCTAAGTGGCATGTAAGAAATATTAAAAGTTTGTCTTGCTTAGTTTGATAAAGATGGAACACTATCTTCTAGAAACCATCAATTTGCTACAAGACGTTCTATTAAATGCTCAGCACATTTTTGCCTCTAAAGCAGAGGCATTGGACTCTAAAAGGGATGGTAAGTGATCTTAACTGGTCTAACACAGGAGAGCATCCTTTTGGTCTCCAAGAAGTGGCCACTCCGTGTTTGTTTCCAAAGACCACTGCACAATTAGAACCAGGGAAGGGTAAACACAGGAAAAGCCAGAGACAATCTGCTCAGGTTTAACTGCAGCAACTGGCCCTTGCTCATCAGCAATTAAGCTCCAGGATCTCCCAAAACAGATGGGAGAAGGGTCACATCTTATGCAGTGTCATTATGAATTGGAAATGACCCAATGGTAGTGGCTGTTTTCTTTCTTTTTTTGGATCTAGGACAGAGTAGAACTGTCCCATAAGATTTCCAGAGATACAAATCTTTACAAAGGAGAAGGATATCATCTTTGGTAAGGTGGAGGGTCAGAGAAAAAGAGGAAGACCCCCAACAAGATGGATTAGCCGAGGGGCAGCATCAATAGACTCAAGCGTGGCGACACTAGTGAGGTTGGCGCAGGATCAGGCAGTGTTTCATTCTGCTGTGCATAAGGTTGCTATGGGTCGGTATCGACTTGATGGCACCTAACAACAACAACAACAAATCTTAATAAAAGCAGATTGTCACATCTTTCTTCTTCAGAGTGATAGGTGGATTCTAACCACTCATCTTTCAGTTAGTAACCACACACCTAACCAGGACTCTATAAGAATGATAAGTAGCATTTAGTATGCACTTACAGTGACAGAGACTTTACAGGAGCTCATCACTTAATTAACATTATAGGGAAGGTACTATGATTATTCCATTCTATAGAAGAGGAAAGGAAGGCACAGGGAGATGCATGGTCCCCAGCATATAATGAGCACTCAGAGTTGTTGCTATTGTTATTACTATTATTGCCTGCAACAAAAACATGCCATGGAAATGGAGCAAAGTAGAGAAAGCCGAAAATCAGTTAATAACGAAATGCCTGTCCACCTCATTGCCTTCCTCTTTCCAAGGATGGTTGTAAGGAGGGGATTTGTTCAATGAGAATAATTAGCAACATAGATCGAGGGAAGAAGACTGACATTAGTTTATATATACATATATGCATATAATATTTAATATATAATAATGTATTTTATATATAATAATTTTATATGTAAAGTGTATATATATATATATATTGCTTGTTGCTAAGTGCTGCTGAGTCGGGATCCAACTCATAACGACCCTGTACAGAAGGGTCCTGTACAGGGTTTCCAAAGAGCAGCTGGTGAGTTGGAACTGCGGCCTTTACCGCCCAAACAGACTTTGCAGTTTACCACATTAACCGCATTAACCAGCAGCGCCACGCCAGAAGTCTCTCTATTTCTCTCTATTTGGTTTTCGTGTACCTATTGCTGAATGCTTTGATGCCTTCTTTTTGAAGGTAATTAGTGGTGGGACAAGCCCTGTACTACCTTTTAAAAATAGACAGTGGTCTTTTATCTCTTGTCTTCACTGGAAAGGGACATATGATGCTCTCTATATTGTTGTTGAGTGCTGTTGAGTTGGTTCAGACCCATGGTGACGATGCATAAGGTTTCTGAGGAGCAGCTGGTGAGCTTGAACTACCAACCTTACAGTTCAAACCAACTTTGCTGCATTAACCCATAGCACCATGCCAGGACTATATTATGTAGTTTAAATTCTTCTGTCTAGACAGATTTAGATTGTCAGCTAGGAAAATAGAAGCCACCAGTGACACTGATTCCTGGTGTCAACCAGTCCTCTCACTAGGAGAGTCCACACTTTGATATTACCTGTGTATGAATCAATGCTTCTCGAAAGTCTGATTCGCTTTAGGTAATCTGTCAGTGGCAACATCCAGAATTTGCAACACAACATGACATAGTAAAGCTCTTCTTTTAGATGAGCATCACTGTCTTGTGCTGATGATATAGCTGGGGGCTTTGCTTCATATAAAAGAAAAGGTTAAAAAATTTTAAAGAGGTTAGCTATCATTTATCATGCATTAGCTTTGATTTAAATATTTTGACCCAGTATTCATTTTATCGAGGTCATGAGCTTAAATGCTAGGTTGGAAGCCGTAATTGACTATAAAGGGGGTCATGACCATGAACTTCACTCTTATCAGCAGAGCAGTCTTGTATTCTTCTCTAAAATACATTTCAAAGCCTTGAAACTGTTTTCAAAGCATTTATCCAATAACAGAACCAAAGTTGAAAAAGGGAGCAAACTTGTTTACACTGTGCAAACTATCTTTCTCTGTCCTGCTGATCTAGTTTCATCTTATCTTTTTTAGTTCAATTCTACTCCAGTATATTACATTTGCATAATGATCAGGTTAGCTTAAAGAGCAGAAAACTTAGGTTTATTGAAGTCGGAGCATTCCAGAAACTTCTCTCAAAACAGACAGATGAGACAAAACTTTCACTAGACTTAAAACAGTTCCATTTATACAAATATTTGAAAGACACTGGGATATGAAAGTATGCAGCAGGTATAAAGCTTATATTTTTCATGAAGAAGTTACACATGGGATATTTTAAATACTAGCTTGATTCTCACATATTTTAGAACATCAGCGAAGTCAGTGCTTTGGATTTACACTGAAGAAAAACATTACAACTGTACACCATTTCATAGGTTTTAATTTCTTACTTTACCTCACATGTCATCTTTAAGTTATAGGAAAATTAAGGTAAAACTTTTCTTTCCAATACATACTTATCAAATTATAATGATGCACTGTGATTTTTTTTTTTTTTTGGTGTCCTGGTATAGTGCTGTAGGATAAATATATTGGACTGCTAACTGCAAGGTTGGAGGTTCAAACTACCAGCCAATCCTTAGAAACTCTATATAGAGTCACTGAGTCAGAACTGACTTGACATTATTTAATAATAACACATGATTTATTTTGCTACTTCTCTTTGCAAAGAAACTTTTATACAGTGCATGGCTTAATTTGCAAATCCAACTTCATTTACATAGCGTTATAAGAAAATTTTCAACTCCATTCCATATATAAAATGTTATGTAAATACTTCAACTCTATATTTATATTTTTATATAAATAAAAGTTTTATTTGATTGATTTATTATTAAACAGCTAAGCTCTTTCTAAGCTTTTTCTATGCATTTATATTTTACATAAATGTAATCATAGTGTGTGTGTGTGTATATGTATATATAAATTTTGTTCTCTTCTTTTAGACTTATTTCATAAATTTAGTTCTGTAATTGTTAGAGAGGTTGACAATTGTGCCTCTTCTTGTGCGACTTAGTTAAGTTGAATTCTCAGGTAGCATCCTTGTATTTTTATATAAAACTTAAATTCTTTTTGTAGAAGGTCAGCAAAAACCAAAAGAAATGTTCCATAAGAGATATTGACACAGTAGCAACAACAATAAACTCAAATATACCAAGATGGTGCAGGATTGCAACGTTGAGTTGTTCTATAAAATCACTATGAGTTCAAGACAACAGCCAGCTACATATTATGGGTATTCTTAACTAATCTTTTACACTAAAACTTGTTATCGGTGATATTGTTGGTGTCCCATGCATGTACCCTAGGTCCACCCAGAGATGTTGCATCTGTCAGAGTTTTCTCCAATGTCAGGCTCAATCCCTGGTTGTCCACAGCATTAATTCTCTCTTCACAAACCCTTTACTAGCTTAACTCCCTTTTCTGTTTTTCTTATTTTCACTGTCCTTCCTGGATCACTTTCAAAATAAACTAAATAAAATTGTCATGGAGTTGATTCTAACTCAAGATGACCCCAAGTGTTATAAAGTGGAACTGTGCTCCATAGGAATTTCTAAACTAATCTTAATAGTAGCAGAGTATTAGATATTTTTTTGCAGTTTGTTGGGTGGGTTTGAACCACTGGTCTTTCAGTTCACCGCCAAGTGCAAATCATTTGTACCACCCAATGACTTCAAAATAAACTGTTTGTACCTAAATTATTGTCTTGAGATCTGCTTTTGTGGAAACCCAAACTAAGACAATTTAAAGGTACACAAATCCTCTCAGAACTCCCTTCTCCTCAGTACTTGAGGTACAATGCTTACCAGCTTGGGGATTACCTTCAGGTGAAGTTATGCCTCCTTCTACTGGTTTTCTCTTCCAGAGCGCTGTTCTTTGATGCATCCTTTTCACTGGGTTATGTAGCTGCGCATCAGCATACTCACTTATGACAGGAGCTCGGAGCAGTTTGCGTCTTGTACTAAAAAAAAAAAGAGAGAGAGAAAGGCTTATGAGGGGATACATAAAGGAGTGAAATTAAGTATTAACTGTCCTTTAATAATGTGATTGAATAGAATGATTCAGATGTTAGGTTTGATGGAAATAATGTTGTTGGAATACAGATTTGACATTGAAAAATTAGCAAATGGCCATTTCTTACCATATTAAATCTCAATGTCTGTGATTCTGCCATTAGATTATATCAATCGAAGGGGGAAAAAAAAAGCTATAGTTGGTGTAGTAGGCAGAATTCTAGTGGTCCCCAAGATTTCTTGTACATGCTTTGTGTAATCCTGGGGACTGTGAATCTGATGGCTATTATTTCCACATTTTTAGCTGCTGTTGAGTTGCCCTGATCCATGAGTCCATGCACAACAGAATGGAATGCTGCCCACTCCTGAGTCATCTCCATGGTTAGTTGTGGACTGGATTGTTATGATCCAAAGAATTTTCACTGATTGAAATTTTGGAAGTAGATTGCCAGATCTTTCCTCCTAGTCTGGTTTAGTGTGGAAGCTCTGCTGAAACCTCTTCAGCATTATAACAACATTTAAGCCTTCACTGCAAGACATGGTGGCTGTGCATGAATTGATTTCTACTACTGAACCACCACTGCCCTCTACTTCCATTATTAGTTTTCCATGGGGCAGAGTTAACTCACAGATATGCAGATTTTCTAGGTGGGCCTCATGTAATCACAATGAGCCTTTAAAAAGTATAGATTAGCTACAGTTGGTGACGGAGGAGGTGATTAGAGAGATTTCAAGCACAAGGGGGTTGACTTGAGAGATACTATGCATTTCCAGCTTCAAACAAGAAGTGGACCATGTGACAAGAACAATATAAAGTTTCTAGAACTTGAGAGTAATACTCAGCTTGCAGTCAACAAAGGAATAGGGATTTCAGTTGTCCAGCTACAAGGAACTGAATTCTACCAGCAATCTGAATAAGCTTGGAAGTGATTTTTTTTCTCAGAGATTCCAGATAAGACCCGAGCCTGGTTGACATCTTAGTTTGACCCTTTGAGGTCTCTACCAGAGCTGCAGGATCAGCACTGGACTTCAAACTACAAGGTCAGCAGTTCAAACCCACCAGTCGCTCGTTGGAAACCCTATACAGGTCACTACAACTTAACAACAGCAGCAGAGAACTCAGCGTTAGTCCATGCAGACTTGATCTACAGAACTGTGAGTTAATCAATGAATGTTGACTTAGATGCTAAATTGGTGGTAATTTTTTAGCACAGCAATAGAAAATGACTATAACTTTTGAGCTTTAGTGGACTTGGCTTTTTAGAAAAGTTTTTAGAAAACAGACTCGTGCAGTTTATAGAGTGAACACTAGCATGCTTTCTAAAATGCTGAGTTTCTTCACAGGTTTTCCTCATAGCTCTTATTCTCTGCCTTCCCTCTTTGGTTTCTCAAGTATACATAGGCCCGTGTGGCCTCCATTCACATTCATAGCTGCCCTGTCCATTTCACTTTCAAACTGGAGTCCATGAAATTACATGGAACTGGGTAAACTGTGGATCCCATTTAAATGAAACCCTAGTCTGACCCTCCTTCCATTCACCCCACATGCATATTGTTGTTGTTGTTAAATGCCATCAAGTCACTCCCAACTCATAGTGATCCTCCATTGGGTTTCTGAGGAGCAAGCTGGTGGGTTTGAACTGCTGACCTTGTTGATAGATTTCCAATTATTGTCTTTGTCTCTTACCTTATAATAATTATATACTTTATGCCACTTCCAAAGGTCAAAGTCTTGTGTCTGCATAAAGATTCTTCAGGTGTGCCGTATTAAGATATTTACATGCCTACTTAAGAATGGTGAAGACTGAGTTTCAGTGAACAAAAAGTCTAATATATCTTAAAAATACAGAGATAGGTAGACGCTAGTTCTACAAAATTAGGAAAGCTTTTTCTGATTAGGAAATGTCACATATGTCATTTCACTAGTTATTTCTTGAAATCTTACTTTGTCTATCCATCTATCAAACATTCATAAATTACTACTTTTAGGCACCAAGAATACAAAGATGAATTAAACAGAGACTAGATTAGTGGTTACGAATCGGGCTGTGAACCTTAAGGTCAGCGGTTTGAAACTACCAGCCGCTCCGCGGGAGGAAGATGAAGCTTTCTACTCTCATAAGGATTTACACCCTCGGAAACCCTGTACAGGGTCGCTATGGGTCGGAACTGACTCGACGGCACTTATCAACAACAACAGCCTTATGAAGGAGTCCTCGTGTTGCATTGTAGGATAAGAACAGAGTTGCTAACTGCAAGGTCAGTGGTTCAAACCCACTAACTATTTCTAGGAAACCCTACACAAGGTCACAGTGAGTTGGAACTGATTTGACGTCACTTAACAACAACAGCAAAGCCCTATGACTGCTCATAGTTTAATGGGAGAGGTAAGATTTAAATAAATAACCAGTAAAAATCAATAAAGATAGTACAAAGTGCTGTGCCTAGACTGAACTTGTCTGGGGATATGAAGGAAGCACTTCATAGACTTTGAAGTCTTAAAGGTTTAGCATGCCTATAACAGAAATGGAAGAAGGGCCTTTCAGTTCTTGAGAGCTATATACTCAGTGATATGAAAGAATGTGACATATTCTGGGAACAGCAAGTATTTTGGTATGACTGGAAAATAATGTGTGCATGGACGATGCCAGTAGTGGGATGGGGTCTGGAAAGGTAAGCGAGCCCAGGTCATGATGGGTCCTAATATGACTCACTTAGGCATTGAATACTGACCTGTAGGCTCTGGGAAGCCAATACAGAGTATAAAGCAACTGAAGGGTCTGAGCAGATAGATTGGTGTCTTACAAGCGCTAGCAGTAGTGAGAGGAGATGTAGAAGAGGATACATTGTAAAGCATGAATACAAAGAAAGAAGTCCTTCCAATAGGTTAGACTTGCTCTGATGAAGGAAATAGAGAATTAAAGAAACATTTTATAGACATATGCACAGAATTTGGTTATCTTTCTGCAGCTTTTGTATAAATTCAAATAAGAAATCAGAAGAATATTTTCCAAGTTTTTATGAGAAGAGAATTGGTTCATAAAGATGCCATAAATATAAATAGAAATTTAGAAAGTAAATGTATCTATGTTTTGGGTACATGGAAAAGATGAGTTCTTTTTTTGTGTGTGTTCAATTCAAGGTGGTTATAGGATCTTTTGTGAAAGGATCTTGTTTGTGATATTCACGATACATTCAGTCCTATCTTTCTGGTGCCAGGATCTTGTTGGTCATCAGTGTATAAAAGATATTTGAAGTGACATTATCTAAGATTGTGAAGTTCTCAAGATGAAAACCTATGCCTTATCTTTATGGTACAAAGCTTAGGGCAAGGTACATTTCTAATAAATGCTTACTGAATAAATAAACTTACCAGTTCTAACCTTTTATTTGACCTTATTTGATATGCCTCAATGCTCTTAAAAAAATGTATGAGTTCAGGGCTATTGGATCATTAACTGGAAAGTCAGAATAGTCAAACTGTCAAGATGGGTAATTCAAGCCTTAGGGCATATGGTTTTCTTTTCCTAAATGTCTATAAGTCCATGACTTGATCATACTAGCAATTACTGTGTAAACCAACCTCTTGGTTAAAATGTTGAAAATAACATTAGAGCTCATACAAGTATTTCAGATATGTACATACATACATTTATGTATGTTACTTACTATAAAATTTTTGTTTATATTATCTAGATAATGACATGTTAGTCTATGTGATAGTTTAGGCTTTGTGTCAACTTGGCTTGGCCAGTATTCTAAGTGGTTGAACAGTTAAGATGTATTTATCACTTCATGATGATTTCTAATATGATGCAATCAACCCCATGATGTGATCAGTTGTAATTATTTTATGTATTGTAAATACTCACACAACCTTGGAAACCCTTTACAGGGTCACTATGAGTAGGAACTGACTCCACAGCACATAACCTCCACCACCATGATGTTAATGCAACCACTCATCTGTCAATATGTGGTACTGTGGTGGCATGCATGTTGCCATGGTGCGGAAGCTATGCCACTGGGTTTTTAAATACCAGCAGATTAATCCATGGTGGATAGGTTTCCAGATTACAACAAACTAGAAGGACTAATTTTGATTGGCTAGCCACAGAAAACCTTATGAATAACAGTGGAACATTGTCAGCTATAGTATCAGAAGATTAAATCATTATGAATAGCAGCAGAACATTGTCAGATATAGTGCTGGAAGATGAGCCCCTCAGGTTGGAAATCACTCAAAATATGGCTGGGTAAGCGCTACCTCCTCAAAATAAAGTTGACCATAATAACTTGGATGGAGCCAAGCTTTTGGCATCTTCATTTGTTAATGGGGCATGACTCAAAATGAGGAGAAATTCTTGCACATATCCATTAATAATTGGAACATGAAATATATGAAGTGTGAATCTAGGAAAATTGGAGGTTGTCAAAAATGAAATGGAAAGCATTAAGATCGATATCCTAGGCATTAGTGAGCTGAAATGAACTGGTATTGGTCATTCTTAATCTGATAATCATATGGTTTACTATGATGGGAATGACATATTCAAAACAAATGGCATCACATTCACTGTCAAAAAGAACATTTCATATATATCTTGAAGTACGTTGCTGTCTGTGAGAGGATAATAAAAGGAAGGCCAGTTAATGTCACCATAATTTAAATTTATCACTATAATTTAAATTTATGTACCCACCATTAAAGTTGGTGATGATGATATTGAAGGATTCTACCAATTTCTTCCTGGTGTGGTACTATAGGATAATGTGCTGGACCACAAGGTCTGTTTGAACCACAAGGTTGGCGGTTCAAGCCTCACCAGCCACTCCTTGGAAATTCTATACAGGGTCACAATGAGTTGGAACCGACTCGAAGATACTTAACAACAAGCCAATTTCTTCAGTTTAAAATGAATCAAACATGCAGTCAAGATGCATTGGT